GACCCTCTTGTTTTCGCGTTTTTATTGGTGGTTACAACGTCCTTAGGTTGTCCAGATACCTAGGGCTAACCTAAAGACGAGGTTTTCGAAAGGTGTCCTTGAGCTGTCCGACAACCGGGCTAACCCAAGGATTTATTTATTTTGGGTTCTATGGAGTCGCCACCGATATTTTTACCATAAACATCGGAAAAGGGGTTTTAAAAAAGGCGTTGGTTTTCGAAAACCAACTTTGGTCATTAGAACCAGAGTTGGGTAAGGGAGTTCGTTACGTGCAAAGGGAGTATTAGTCCCTTTGCGACGCCCATTTCGGGTTCCCTATGATAGGCCGGCTTATTTTTATTGATAAACTAGAAAAACGCACTTTTGCCCTTTTTATTCTGCGGAATTTAAAAGTATGACTACATGGCCCTAATGTCTACTTGCATAATTTAAGATAAAAGCGGTAAAGGTGGAAAGAGAGAATTTGAACCTCCGAAGCACGCTTTTTATATTAATTCTCTGGAAAAATAGGGTGCTTTATGGCAGACCCTTCACTCTACAAGACGTCGGAAACCTCTCGAACGCCGAAAATCACTCTTGAAAACACTCGAAACTCCGGAAATGCGTCGGAGGGATTCTAGAGAGAAGTTTTAGAGAGAAGGGAGAGTTATGCAGCTGTGGTGTGTCCAAATGAGGGGGGGAGAGCCCCTATTTATAGGTTTCCGCGCTGTCAGGTGGCGAGACCGCCGGTCTCGTCTGACAGCAACGAGACCGCCGTCTCGCACAACGAGACCGCCGTCTCGTTTAACATAAGCAACGAGACCGCCGTCTCGTACAACGAGACCGCCGTCTCGTTTAACATGAGCAACGAGACCGCCGTCTCGTACAACGGACCGCCGTCTCGTTTTCGCTGGTAACGAGACCCGGTGCGGGTGAACGAGACCCCGGTCTCGTTTTCGTAGTCAACGAGACCCGGTCTTGTTGGAGCATCCGTCGCTCAAGCGAGTATACCGATCGCTTGAGCGAGACTTGACCCGGGAGTCCCCTTTGTTTGCGGCACCTGTCGCTCAAGCGACGGACGTACTCGCTTGAGCGAGACTTGACCCGGAGTCCCCTTCAACGCGAGAAACTTTATTTTGGGCCAAAAAACCCTCCTATCTTGGTATGGGAGCCTAATAGTCTCTCCTAGTGGCTTGTTAGGCTCCAGCCGTCTTCGAATAGGGGACCTTCGACTTTACTTGGAGGCCGGGCAAGATTTGGGGTCTACACTGCCCCCTTTACACTGACTAGTCAAGCTGTTGGCTGTTATGCCGGAGCAGTTGACGGGAAGGTAAAGAAGTTGACCCTCTTGCCGGTTACCCTTCGGATATCCGTCTTGTGGCGGATGATCCTCCGGGAAATGTTGTGGTCGCGTGCCTCCGAGATACTACTTCTGACGTAGCCGATCCCTTTGGTGAGCACGTGGTAGAACCTCCGGATACAACTTCTGACGTAGCCGATCCTTCGGTTGATGAGTATAAACCCCCCATCAGGCTGGTAGTTGCGAGTCCGTTGTGTGGGACCGGATGGGTATGAACCCCCATCAGGCTGGTAATGGCGGCTTACGGTTCATGTGGCCCATGCGCCGGTTAGGCGCCTCTTATGTGCTTGGTTGATAGGTATGAACCCCCTATCGTGCAGTACGAGTCCACTTGCGTAGGGCTCGGTGGTAGTGGCGGCTTCTTGCTCGGGTGGCTCATGCGCCAGAGCTCTCGGGGAATGATTTTTGTGCTCGTGCACTTCCAGGATACTACTTCGACGTAGCCGAGTCCCTTCGATGGACACGTGGTGGAACCTCCGGATACTACTCCTGACGTAGCCGATCCTTCGGTTGATGAGTATAAACCCCCATCGAGTCTGGTAGTTGCGGTCCGTTGTGCGGGGCTCGGATGGGTACGAGCCCCCATCAAGGCGGTGGGTACGGCCCGTTGTGTGGGACTCGGATGGGTATGAACCTCCCCATCGGGGTGGTACGGTCCGTTGTATGGGGCCGGATGGGTATGAGCCCCCATCGGGGTGGTACGGTCGGTTGTATGGGACCGGATGGGTATGAGCCCCCATCGGGGTGGTAATGCGACTTGCGATACGGCTCGGGCGCGGATCAAGCGCGGCTCTACGGAGAGTGCTGCTTGTGTAGATTTGACTGCTTTTCGATTTCTTGAATAGTCATCGGGCCATGCCGAGGATTTTGTTGGTGATCAATCGGCCTTTGCTTGATTGCTGGAGTCCTTTGTTTTTGTTCTTTTGGTAGTGATCTTCCAATCCATGTTGGTTGGTTGGATGGATCTTGGTTTTGTTTAGCTCTTGTTCGATTAAAGCTTTATTGGTTGGTGCGACGGTTTTAACCCTGCCTTTTTCTCGCGGTTTATCTCTCTTTTCTCGCGATTTAGGATTTTGGCTTTTTTATTGAGCGTATGTCTTTTACTCTTAGTTTTCTTTTTGTTACTGCTGACTTTTGGGAAGGGTGGCAAAAAAGGATGCATGAAGTAAAATTTTATTTATTGGAAAAATTTTATTACAACCCTATTCTTGGAGCTACTATCCCTAAGGGCTATCTTCGGGCACTGATTCCTGGGGAGGGTAATGCTTGGTACATATGGTATCTGAAGTCCTCCATCTCTTGGACTTCATCCTGGTACCTCTGCTGAAAAGTCGCCCGGTCTTGGCGCATGCTTTGTTGGTACTGGTACATCTCCCCCGGTCGGGTGTCAAAGGCCTCTTGCCTTTGGGACGGTTGCTCCACTTGTTTGGAATAGGCTGATCACGCCTCGGGACGCTTGTTCTTGTCTCACGGTCATACCATCGAGCTGCCGGCACGAGTGCGTCCATGTGGAGGTGCATGCCGGCAAAGTCGTCCGAATACCGGGGCGGCTGCTGGCGATGCTTGAGTGTTCTTCTTGGGAATCAGGGGATGTGGGCGCAGCCTGCATCACATCATGGAGCTCTAAGGCAAAATCCGGGGTGGGGTGGAGAGCGAGCTGGTTCCGCTGCGGATCGAGCATTCCCATGCTGACCAAGATCGTCCCGCCGATGGATTCGGGACGCAGGTTGTGGGTTAGTTCTTCCGTCCGGGACACCCAATCCTTTACGCTAAGGGGTAATGAGGGGAGCAACGAGGACGCTCCCCACCGTCTGTTCCCGAAGTCCCCGAGGGCTCTCGAGGAAGAAGTACCCAGGGGTTGCGGCGTCGCCTTTGGCTCATGCGGTATAGTATGAAGAGGTCGGGAAGGGATATCTTGCCTTGACTTTCTTTCCTCGCGTGTATAGTTCCTGCCGGCGGCTTGTGGCGGATGCGGAGTGCTAGGGGAAGCGCGAGATCCCCTCATCGGCGTAGGCAACGTGGTGGCTCCCGTGAGCTCTCGCCACATCTCGGCGCGAGGAGGTGGGCGGGCCGTGAGCAGACAGCGTCACGATACTCCTGGCTCATGGCTTCCTCGGGTCGGATGAACCCGATGTCCACGTTGAATTCTTTGAGGGTAGAAGTTCGGTATTGCCCATTCATAAAGTAGGTTACCATCTGAGTGGGTGGTAGGCCTGGGACAGTGGAGGGACTCTCGGAGTAGGAGACAGAGGCTAAAAATTCCAGCACTGCTTGCGGGTACACATGTGTCGGTGGTGGGTGCAACAAGAATCCCCATCCAATGCTTTGTCTAGATGGGCCGGACGTCGTCTTCCCATCCGAACTCAGCCGAGGATGTTGAAATCTAGCTTGAGCATGGGGTGCCATTGGTAGGTCCGGATGTTCTCAAGACGGGCCCGGTGTTGTGGTGCAAGGCTGGGAAGGGTCCTGAGATGGCGGTGCTTGCGGAACTACTAGCACCGGCGAGTGCCCCTTCTCTTTCTAGAAGCGCTTCTTCCAAACATATTGACCAAAGGGGGCTTGGGAGTGCAAGAGTTGAGGGAGAGGAAGTTCGGGGTCAAAATGAGGTGTGAGGAAACCCAAAGCCGCGCCCCTATATATAGGGAGAATTTCCGGATCGAGACCGCCGTTTGGGTAGACGAGACGACGGTCTCGTTTCTTTCCGGAACGAGGCGGCGGTCGGTGCAACGAGACGGCGTTCCGTTTCCGCCAATGCAGACGGCGGTCTCGTGCAACGAGACGGCGGTCTCGTTTTCGCCGTCAACGAGACGGCGGTCTCGTTTCGCGGAAGAGAAAATTTTCTTTTTTTGTATTTTTATTGCTTTTTTTGTTATTTTGTTGAAAGGAGTAATAGGACCTGGTCTAAAAACATTTTATGCATGCAATGTTTTTTATGTTTTGATGTCCTATAATGCCTATTTTGATTAAGTTTTCAGAAGGATTTAACCGACATGCCTTGTTGTCTTGAAAGCCTTCTGATTTGCTTGCATTTTTCCTTTTTGGTCTGTACCATGCCGGATTTTTGTGACCAGAAGGATAATCTCTTTCTTTCTTTCCTTCTATTTTTCTTTCTCTATTTTTTGTTGTTGTTGTTTTTTTTTTTTTTTTTTTTTTTTTAGTAGAGCACTTTTCGTCATGTAGTGTCCCTTTTTCCTTGCTTTAGGGGTTTCAATCCTCTTGTTGACTATACGCCTCCATATTCCTAAATTAATTATTAGAATATTGTCGTGAGGGTCAAGAGAAAAGAAGTAAGATGAGGTAAAAATCAATGGTTTGTGTTTTAGAGGGTTGATTTTTATTGATAAAGAATTTGTAAGAATGACTGGCAAAGGGGTTAAGCACGAGTGTTTAAGCTTTGTCTAAGCAAACATTTTCCCTTTTTCTCTCTTTTCTTTTTGCATTTGTTTTTATTTGCGCTCTTTGGTTTTATTTCCATCGCTTTTTTTTGGATAGCTGGCTGATTTCCCTAGATCGCCCTTTGGGTTTTCGAACTAGGATACGTGCGTTGGCCCTAACTTTTGTCTAGGTTTACTCTCTCGTAAAATTTTGGAGAAATCCTAGCGGACCTTTATTTGTAACCCTAACTTTTGCCTAGGCTACCCTTTATTGTTGTTCGGGTATCCTACCGGGTCGACCCTAACTTTTGTGTAGCCCCCTTAGTGGGTTTCCTACCGGGTGATTTGCCCTTTTCTTTGGCCTTTGGCTTCTTTGGGCTTTTTCTCTTTTTTTTGTTGATATTCTTTTGTTCACGGTATTGGCGAAGCGTGACTTTCTTTATGGCTTAAGTGAAGTCTTATTTTTACGTGCTTCTAATCGAGCTAACTTGATGATGATAGCAATGATGAAGTTTTGATTATTTGGGAGCGCTTCTTATTCCTTTCTTTTCTTCTTTTTTTCTTTTTGTTTACTTAGACGGGGTTATTTATGTGGTCTAGTCAAAAGTAGAAAGAAGAGAAGCGAGATAGAAAGAATAATTCTTTATTAATTAATAAAGGAATATGTGCCACTGAAATGCCCGGGGTCGGGCTCGCCACGGGGGATAGTCTCTAACAATCATGGGGTTTACATCCCTTAAGCAAAGAAAGAGGTTTCCTAATGACTAGAGTGGCTCTTGACGCCTTGCACTCCTCCACTTCGGAAAATGCTGCTTGAGTGTGCGGAGAGGGGACTTCCCTTTTATTCTTCCCGCTCGACCCTTGAATGGGTTATATCCTAGGCCATACTTGTGAGGATTGTCTTTGAATTCCGGGGGTTCCCTCATTCCTTGGGAATCGCCCCGATCCTTGGCGAGGATGGTAGCCATGTTTCAACATCATACGGGCTACTTTGGTGTTTTCGGGAAGTCGCTCTATGTTGGCAATTTCGAGCGCTTGAAAAGATGTTTCAAGTGCCTCTTCGGCTGCATCCACATAGGGTTGGGTGGATGGTCCACTGATCGAGGATATCGTCTTACGCTTGGTCGTGACCAGTTTATCCTCCACTATGAATTTGACTTTTTGGTGGAGCGTCGAAGGTACTGCCTTAGCGTCATGAATCCAAGGCCTACCGAGGAGACAACTATATGCTTTGGAGTTATGTCCATTACATGGAAATCGATGTCAAAGATAGTGGGTCCAATCTGGATTGGCAAATTAATTTCTCCCACTACTTCTCGCTTTGATCCGTCGAAGGCTCGAACGATGGTGCTACTTGGGCGTAGACGGGCCCCTGGATGGTTAACTTATCCAGTGTGCATTTTGGCATTACGTTCAGGGATGACCCGTTATCCACAAGAACTTTGGCGATGAGGTATTCCTTGCATTTGACCGAGATATGCAAGGGTGCATGTTGTGTTTTGACCCTTCAAGAGGGAGTTCTTCCTCTGTGAAGGCGAGGTGATCGCTTGCCGTAATGTGACCAACGATCCTCTCGACCTTCTCTTGGGATATTGTGTGAGGTACGTGCGCCTCGCTCAAGACCTTCAGCGAGGCGTTCCGGTGTGGTTCGAGCTCATTATCAAAGATAGCAACGTGATCTTTGCGAGGCGTACGGTTGAGCTGATCGATAATGGAATACTCACTTTGCCTAATAAACTGGAGTAATTCCTCTGTCTCCTCCTTAGATTCTTTATTTTCTTTTTCTTCTTCGGTCTTTTTATTTTTTCCTTTATTTTGAAGGACATCTTCCCGCGTGTCCTTGGGGGAGTAGATTCTTCCACTTCTAGTCGCGCTCCCAATGCCGGCTATGTTCGTTATTTCTTCTTTTATTGGTGAAGATTCCCCATATCTCCACGGTACAGCTTTATCTGATTCGTAGGGGAAAGGACGTGGCATAAAAAGTCGTACTGGTGTCCTTGCCCCTTCTTCTTTATTTTTGATGACCAACGGCCGAGGCTTATTTTCCTCTTGCGATGATTCAACCATTGGGGTGAGCTTTATTAGGAGTGGCTTTCTCTCCATTCTTCGAGTTGGAAGACGTGTTGGTTAATCCTTCCTTTTTATTATCTTATTTATTAAGTGTGAAGGAGGGGAAATTAAATATGCAAATGTATGTATGCAAGTAGACAAATGTTGAATAAGGAAAAGATTTCATTAATTCGAGTGGAAGGTGTACATTCTCCTACTCCATACTACGAAGCGTCTTTTGACAAAAGCGGAAAAGCCTAAAGAAACCCACAGGCGGGTCTTGTTTTCTTTGTAATTCTCTTTCGGCTTCCCGGACGTGTTGAGCGAGCGCTTCGCTTTGTTTATGGATCGCTTGGCTCATTTCTTCGCTGTATTGCTGAGCGTCCTTGATCTTCACCTCTTGATGTATGACCAAGGCTTCTAGTTCATCGAGCCTTGCGACGGCTCGGTCCTTTTCTTGTAGCACTTGGTCATATTGAGCTAGCCCGCTTTTCTCTTTAATGCGCAGCTCATAAATACCTCGACTGAGTTTTACGTTATTCTCTCGCTCTTGGCGGAGGTCTAGCCGAGCTTGGAGGAGTTGTTCTGATAATTCCTTGATCGTTTGAGCTTGCCGATCCGCTTCCGCCTCAAGGTGTGCTTGTTTTGGCGGTTATCTCCTGCGAGTTGGCTATCCGAGCTTGTTCTGCGGATTTGGATGCTCGGATAGCTTGTTCGTTGGCGTCGGCACATTGGTCCTTGAGGCGTCCTATTTCATGATCCTTTTCCTGCCTTGCCTTTGCGAGACCATCAATCATGAGGATAGAGGCTTGTTCTTTTTCCTCAAGGGACCGTGTCCGGGCTCCCATTATCTCTACCCTCCGGGTCAAGGCATTGACTTGTGCACTGCAGCTCTTCGTTGTTGGCGATTGGAGCGGGTGTGGTGGATGGTCGGGCCATCTCTCTTCTTCTCCTCCATGCCTCATAATCACTGGTGACAGTTACCCGAGCCTTTCCTAGCTCTCTGTCTCCCATATAAACCGGCTTCTCCCATGCTTTCCTCACAGTTAGTGAGTTGGCCATTGTGCATGGGTCTCCAAAGAAGCACAGTCCTCCGAGTTCCCCTCGGGAGATGGTAGTTTGGGTCCTCATAAGTTGCCTTATAGCTACCCTGGGTGAGTAGGCTATGCAACCCCTGAGTCCTATCAAGGGTACATTCGGATGGTTCCCGCATCTGACTAGAACTGGGCCGGGTCGGAACCAAGGACAGACCCAAGATATGTTGTTGGCATCCTTCTGTTCTAACTCATCCCTCCATTCTATGGTCAGGCGTCGTTGGAGGGGGATCTTGGAGAAGCTTCTTAAGGGGTCAGGGAATATCCCCATATGACTGGAGGCATAGAGGTGCGTGATGCTCCACACATAAAGCAGCGAAGAGCAGCAACGAAGTGTTCTTCCTTGCTTCTGACGGCAGAAGTCTACCGAAAGCAAGGTGTCGGCAAGAATAGCGGGCAAGGGACTCTTCGAGTTTACGTCCCAGGCGAAGAAAGCGTCCATGACGGCGTGGTCAACCGTGTCGAGTTGGAAGGGTAAGGATTGTCCCGAAGATTAATAGCGCCGGGGTTTTGTTGAAGGCAACCCACTCTGCCCTTTCAGCCGGGTAGGACAGGTGGTCTTCTAACATTGCTACTTTCCACCCCTGGGTGTTCCCTCTTCCCATCGGGGTACTCTGTCGGTATGGCAGATGGATAAGGGCAGCGACTGGTGCTGCAGGAGTATACGCCTCATGGCGGATATGGACCCCAGCTGATTTGGGCCATTTTAACATGATTTCATACTCCTCTAGGGTAGGCACCATGTCGAACCGCGGAAATTCAAAGCATCGCAAACTTGAGTTCCAAAAGTGAACCAGTACCCTGAGAAAGACTTGGTCGACACTGATTTTCAGAAGGTCCAAAATCCGTCCATAGGATTTTTCAAACTCTGTTTGGATCTCTGGGGGCATTGTCGCACTGAGCCGCTCTAGCTTCTCAGTATGGTTTCGGAGAATGTCCACCTTCCCCACTTGTCTACTTGACCCCTCCATTTTCTAAAACCAAGATGTATGATTTGATGAAGATGATGTTTATTGTATGAATGTGAGTGTTTATTTCGCTATTTTATCATGTTTTTTTTCTTCTACATGATGTATGGTATTTGCATTTATTATTTTTTTTGGAAGAATCAACTATCTATATGAATGTTTTATGAATGCAATGTTTTGGACCAGGTCTTATTTGTGAATTTTGAAAAAAATGATTTTTTTTTTTTGCTTGTATTTTATTGTTATTTGTTTATTTTATAGCCTTTTATCTCTTTTGTCGGAACTGCGTGGCTACTTAGCTTGCAAAGAACCTGGAACCAGGCTAGCTAAAAGGCAGACTGTCCGAGATAAAAATATGGCTTTATGAGAAAGAATATTTATCGTCCCTTATCTCTTCGTCGGAGCTGCGTGGCTACTTAGCTTACAAAGAACTTGAAACCGAGGCTAGCTAAAAGGCAGATCGTCCGAGATAAGGGTGTTTATTTGTAAAATATTTTTTGTGATTTTGTTGTTTGTTTATGCTATGCAACATACAAATGCAACAAACATATGCACACACAATTCGATCATCCCCGAACAGGCGAGATTCCTTTTTTATCACGAGGTAGGGTTTTCCTGCAGAAGAGTGCATTGGTTTAGGGTAGGTTCTAACTGTTCTCACCAGGCTAAGGCCCCCAAGGTGCCCCCATTATAGGGTCCCCACTCTCCAGCCGTCCGACCATGCTCAACACTAAGGCCAGAGTCGGTCTTGTTGCCAAAAGAGGAAGGTTATCACCTTGAGTGGTGGTTTCCGATCACACTGGTGGGCACACGGCCCTAACTGCAGCGAACCGTACCTGCCACCCACTCCCTATGGTTATCTCTCTTGCCCCCGGGTATAGGAGGAACTGTAGTGTGCAAGGGATTGTGTGCAGTTTGTATCTCAATCAATTGCGTAAGTATAAACAAACAACAGTTTATTGAAAGCCAAACAATAAAACATGTTATAAATACAAGTTAAGGGCAAAAGTGTGTTTTTCTTGGTTTATTTATTGTTTAAGCCGGCCCATCACTAAATGGGATTAACTCTCTAGGCTTCCCCAGTGGAGTCGCCATCTGTCGCCGCCGTAAAAAACGAGGCGGTCGGAGCGACGCGATGGTTTTATCGACCCTCTTGTTTTCGCGTTTTTATTGGTGGTTACAACGTCCTTAGGTTGTCCGATAACCGGGCTAACCTAAAGACGAGGTTTTCGAAAGGTGTCCTTGAGCTGTCCGACAACCGGGCTAACCCAAGGATTTATTTATTTTGGGTTCTATGGAGTCGCCACCGATATTTTTACCATAAACATCGGAAA